TCCGTGAACGTTTCCCATTATGTGAGCATGCTAATGTTTTCTTAAAGATGGTGCATATAAGAATACTGTGAAATGTTGAAGGAGACCGAGCCTTGGAGGCGAAGTGGATGAAGCCAAGAGTTTAGTATTCTTTAGGATTAGTAATAAACTTAGGCTTAGATTTAGGTTGATCACCTAGACATAGGTCTAATAACTTAGTTTAGAAATTACATTTAAAGAAACTAAAAGAAATGACCAAAATTGGTAGTAACTAGCTTAGTTCAAGCTTGGACTCACCTCGAAGATCTCTTTTAAGTTTAGGATTAGAAATAGAATTAGAATTAGAATTGGAATTTAGGATTAGAATATATAAGCTCACGAGGGATCATGTCTTGGAGCTTATAAACAAGACCATGTAATATTCTTTGTCTGACATTGTATCGAATTACGTTCTGGATTTTACTTACTAGCTTGTTTACTACTAGTTATTATCGTCTTTGATATGTGTGTGCTTTCATTCATTTATTTCCTTGATCATGCTTTTTCCTAGTTTAGTGAAATGGTTAGGCTACACAATAGGTTCATGATGGACGCAAAAGACCATGGCACGGTCACTTAGCGGTCAAAGCTTACAGGATTTATAATTGAATGAAAAGACCGTGTAGATACTTAGAAAACACATCAATCAAGTTAGGATATCGAAAAGGGCATTAATTGAACAATGAATGTAATCAAGTCCCCGTGCTTATACTCGTTACATAGGAAGTGAGGTATTCTCTCATATTTCACTTGGTCCTCACTTGATTTCTAGCTGACCCAAATAGGCTGGTGACGACTCAACACATAAAAACTCTCCTAGGATTAATCAAACTAAAAAGGAAATCAAACGTCACACAAGATAAGGGTTTGAGAGAAGCCGCGTTAATTGAAAACCATTAGTCCACCTTTGGCATTACCTGTAAACTCATCTCTCCGGACCGTGCTCCGGAATGGTCACGGTAGCTATTGATGTATGGCAAGATTTATCCTTTATTCACCTTTCCTTGAATATATGTGTTTTGATCTCTAGAGACCACCGCATATTTCATGAACACAGTTGGTGCAGGACATTCTTTCTTTCCTTTTCTGTGATCATCTCAATGGTGACAGATACTACTTGAAGGAATATACTGAAGCCTCTGTTACGGATCAACTCTCCATATGGGCGATAGATAAGGATCGCTTTTGGCCTTTTATTTTATCGATCCCATGCTAGGCATGAGTTCGATTTATACTTTGTCGAATAAAGACGCAATATGCAATGAGGTCGGAAATTAGGCATCCATGTACCCGGCATTTTGGAAGAGGCAATTTCCCTGTGTGATATTCACTACACTACAAAAAACATCAGGAAATATATCATCGTTCAGTTAATTGCAGCAGAAAGTCTTGCTTTCTTTGATTTGATTCTAAACAAAAAATAGTGAAGCAGAGATTTTTCTGTAGGCTTACCAAAGTTTATGTCTAAGTCTTGACATTCCTTCCGAAAATGGAGACTTCGAGTTCAAAGTCATCAATTCTAACAAGCTCGAACACACCGGCATCTCCTTCCTTTAGAGAAGTTCCTCTCTGAAATGTGGCCAACCGCAGAGAACTTTCCCAAGCCACGTTGTGGGTAGCACAGAAGCTTCACTGGCCATGATCCATCCGAATATTTAAGAGTCACGGTTTGCATGCTTCCATTCATGCGTCCCTTTAAAAACTGGCTTTGGGGACAGTCTGCAGAGTTGACTTTTGATCAACAAATGATCCATGAGTGAGAACACGAAAGGTATGATGACTGACACAAGTAATGTTAACCAGACAACATGTGCATAATCTTCTAGCTGAACCCGAATCAAATAGGAATATATGGTACCTTTCAAGAAAGAAATAGATTTCATTCCTGTTCAAATTTTGCACATAAGAACTATGATCTCAGGATCTTTTCTTACCACATTGTACTTTGATAGATGACTTGACCGGATAACTACTGTGAAGGAAGGATTCTGCAGCTTGTACTTGTTGGCTGCTTTGAGAGCGGTAGTTGCCCGCGAACTTCTAGAAGTAGAATTACAAGAAGCCAACATGGCGGGGCTCACTTTGCATTTGGATTTTTCGATCCTACCTGAATTAGTCAGGCAGAAAGAAAGCATAAGAAAAAACTATATAGTGTATGCATTACTTATAGGCTAGGATTCACACACCTTCCGAATCTTGTGGCCGAAGCTTCGCTCCTTGATCCATTGTGAAGCCTTTCGATTTACAACCTGATGTGAGTACAATTGCATGGAAAATAGTAGCATCATTGACATTACAAATGGAATCAGATTACGTCACCTTGGAAGGCTTGTGATGATTAGTTTTAGATGCGATTCATCCTTCTCTTTTGTCTTTGGCGAGAAACCATCTGAACTTTGAAGTCCAACTGAAAGATTACGGTGATCACCAGCATCTCTCGTTTTTGGCGGGACATTGGACATTTTCAAATTTCTCGCTGTCGGGGTCCATTAACGGATAATATATCTCAGATGCGCTTTTGTCAAATATGAGTACGTTAAAATCCAAGTCCCCTAAGTATTTGAAGACTAAAAATGTGGCCCTTTCAATTAGAGTAATGCTGCGTAAATTGCTTCCATCCCTCTAATAACCAAACCATACCATCCCATTTTTCCAATTCCACTCTCCAATTTCCACCATTTAGAACCCTCAATCGCACCTTTTCAGGAAAATTCTTGCCAGACTTTCTCACAAAACTCTTTGGAATACCCTAGTTTTATACACATAAAGTCAATATAGATATATAAACAAGCAATGCTTTTGAATATGAACTGACTCAAAAGGAAAGGCTAGTGTTGGTGTGTGGTAAGCTTCTAGCCATCGAAGCCTTGGTACGTCGAAAAAGAATTTTTATAAGAAAAGCTTACAAGCCTTCCGGTTTGGAGTGTCTGAGAGAGTATGATCTTGAAGAAATGAGGTGTCTCCCGTGCAAAACTTCCCCCGCACTGTTCATCTTCTCTTCGGCAATGAGAAGTCATCCCTTGAGTACAAGTTGTGTAATTAGTTGTAACGTCTGACTCCAAACTTGTTCTGTGGCCTTTTATGGGCCAACTTAATTAAATGAAGCATTTAATTGGAGAAGACATTCATTTCTGGACGTAATCTGAAGTAGGCTGAGTTCTAATTATGTTAACGAGCGTCTAAAACTAGATTAGCTCATCATTATGATGTAGAAAAGTTAAAAAAAATAAATAAATGAATGCTGGAGGAAGCTCATTAAGAAGAACACAGAGGGAATCGAACCCATGAAAAGAGGTTAGATTTGTCAGTCGATCGAAAGTGTATCAAGAATAATGCTAGAGATGCTAAGACTTGTATCTAGTGTTACATATACTAAGACTGAAATCGATAGAATTGATTCCAAAGTGATGTGCAAGATTTTGATTGTACTGGCCCACTCATTTGCACCTTTGGCTCGGTGGACCTGGGCAGACTATGTCGTGAGGCCAAACACCGCCTCTAGTCGTTAAAGAGGATTGGGGTGAAAGAAAAGATAATTCACTCAAACTCGACTGCTTCTATCCATCACATTTAAGCTAGTCAATCTTTTACCTTCTATGTTGGGTCCAGATTAATTTAGGCATTTAATTTTGTTATTGCTTGGAGAGTCTCACTAGTACCTATGACTAAGTATTAAACATTGGGTACAGACTACAAATTGAAGATCTTGAGCTTTTAGAAATTCCTTAGCCGTGAGTCCTGCATTTTTTCGGCGATTAAATTTAATTTTCTTCAGCTAATATTTAGGTAAGGTTCTTGATTATTTTGTTCAATTCAGTTCATTGTTTCCTCCTTCAATGTCAATGCTGGCTTTAAAAACCTTCTTAACTACTTTAGTTAAGTGATTACTAGACTTTAATCCGAATCCACTTGTGTATTGATCACTAGAGAGCAATACCTATTATAAAATATGTTGGATTCCGACATGCCATGTTAGCAAATTTGGTTGAGTGATCATTGAGAAGGACTTGACTGCATCTGATTCAAAACGTTTATGACTTAATTGCACTTTTTCAAAATTTAGAACTTGATTGTACATTAAGCAAAACGTTTAAGATTTTTTTTATGCAATTTTGTCAAAAAAAAAGAAAAGGAAAGAATATATCAAAATTGTCATTTGTTTGGATGAGAAGAGAAGTTGAAGGAAAAAGCAAGGATTGGAGATACTTAGGTAAGTTATGAAAGATTATGATGGTGTTGATTTAGGCAATTATGCTGAGGTGGCAAATTGTAAGAAAATTATGTTTTTACCAATTTCTTATATATAGTCATATGATAGAGGATTTGCTTAATTGGCATATTAATGGTCAGTCAATTAGCAATGGGTTTTCTGACAAAAAGAATTAGCAATTGGTTTTCACGTTGTAAGTCAATTTATTCACTTGCCTAATTTTATTAATTTATTGGCTAATACGAACCACTTTTTTACCATATAAAAAAACAATCAATTAGTGGCATATTATGGCAAAAATTTATGGGAGTGTCTATTTCCACGGCCCACATGACTAATCCATAGCTTTTTCAGGTGAAGAGACAAATCTACCCCCGATTTTACCATCCACGCAAGAAATTGGTTTTCATTTTTCTTTCTTAATAAAAAACACAACTTCCTTCACCACTTGAGTTCTCATCGGCAGGTCCCCCTTCCTTTGCAAGACTGGGATGTTATTAGTGAGAAAGAGGGAAATTGGATATAGAATTACTACCTCAATAAAAATCTTCTCCATGCCAACCTTTGACTGTGCCTCAGTAACTTCCAGATGTCTGTACCACTTGCAACACCTGCCCTTGCCTTTTATCAGTGACTAGACAAGTTAAAAAGATGAACAATTTAGAAATTATGGCGCTTAAGGTGTCGGACAATTTGAGAAGCAAAGGCAAGCGGAAAAAAAAATAGATGAGGATGACATTGATTGGATCTTACTACCTTTGTGTGTATTTGTTTATGCGGATAATTTCTGTATGGCTGTATTGAGATCACCCTCCAAGCACACTTCCCAGATGTATTTGAATAGTCTCGTACAATGTAGTTTTGGTGTGCTTAGCGTACCCTTAGAAAAGATCTTCATTTTCGGGCACTCTTCCACTACAACAAGCTCCAAGGATGGAAATCTGAAGATGCAACTTGTGATGGAGGAGAAACATACTAAGCTTGGCAGATATTGGAGTCTCAATGTTTTTAGCTTCCCAAGAGAAATCACTTTTCCTGCTCCGTTTCCATCGTTTGTCACTACTTCTTTCATTTTTTCACATCCCATTATAGTCATGTTTATGAGATGTACTAAATTTGTGACAGCTGAAAATGTTACTAGATGTACCAATCCTGAGGAATTCTTCACCACTAAGTTCGTCAATTTCTGGAAGGATGTCATGGCTGGAAATAATGTTGTCAAACTGGGACAATCCATAACCTCAAAAGTTTTGATACTCTGAAGAATTTTTGATGCCAAATGGTTTTCTCTCCAGACATGCTTTAGCTTGTGTAGCTTAATTAACTTAAGTTCTCTTAAATTTTCAAGCATAGGATGTTTTCCCTCATCAACAAACCCTTCATCTGGGAATATATCTTCAAATGAGCTACAAAAGACCTCAAGGCTTTGTAGATTCTGAAATCTCTCTAAGAGGAATCTAGGAGGAAAGACGGCATTTTCATCATGAAAGCATGCCAATATTAGTGCTTTTAGCTTGCTAAAGATGTCATCAGGAAATTTTCCATGCTGTATCATCTGAATATCCTTTTCGATTAATAAAAGTCTCTCTAAGTTGGGAAAATCCTGTCAAATTGACAACACAACAAGAGAAGCAAATTCAACATAGCTTCAATAACAAATCAGGTGTAGTAAAAGATAAACCTAACTCAGGTGATTCGATTGGAAGGTGAGCATCTTCTTAAAAAGTTCATTGAATCTCAAGACTCTGCATAGAAGTCTCAAGCTTTTGAAGTCATATTACAAAATACAACTATAATCGAAGACTCCACCAGAACCATCCATATTGATAACTTGAAGAGGATTTGTTAAGTAGAGGCTCATAAGGTTAGATTGGGATAAAAACAGCGCAAGTGCCATAACTTTCGTATGGTGCTCACTTAAGGGTCATAACTTTTGTTTCACTCACTTGAGTGTCACAAATTCGAAAAATCGATCACTTGAGCGCCATCGGCGATTTGCCTTGCCGGAAAATTCGACGTGGATGCCGGTCGTCCGACATGACTTCGCCAGCTCTGACGTGGATAATTTTTTAATATATTTTTGAATTTTTTTGAATTTTTGAATTACTTTCTTTTCAAGGCCGGCGAGGGTCACCAATGACCCTCGCCGACCTTGAAAAAAAAAAGCAAATTAGAAAAGGAAAAGAAAAACAAAAACTAAAAATCAAAATAAAAAATAAATAAATAAAATTCAAAAAAATAATAAAAAACATTTAAAAATCGGATGGAAAATTAATTAAAAGAACCATGAAGGATGATTTGCCGGAAATGGTACTCAAATTATCAATTTTACTCCGATGTGTCACTTAAATGAGCAAAAAAAAAAAAGTTATAACACTCAAGTGAGCGCCATACGAAAGTTATGGCACTTGCGCTCTCTTATCCCCGATTAGATTGGTAGAGTGAATCTAACTTCAAGAACCAACCAACTCACTAAATTCATCTTTTAATAGAAATTTCTTATATTGTCAAAAAAAAATTCTTAGATTAGAATTTTATTTGACAGGATGCATTCGGTGTTACTCAAACATGTAGAGGTCCACAACTCAAAAGTGTGCTGAAGATATTAGAAATATATTATGTTGTCTTCAAACTGATAGGTAAGGGGTGAAGTATAACGTGACAAGACTATGCAGCAGACATGAAATATAAGGGGTGAATGAAAGAAAAAAGTAGAATATAGCGCAATAAGGTTCTAATCTTATTTTTTCAAAAAAGAGAATTGTTTGAATTTATTCTTTTAGAGTTTGTAGAAAATATAATAGAGAAGAAAAATTCAGTGGTGAGACATGTGTCCACAATGGAGAGGACCACATGTCAAGTCCTCATTGATCTCAAGGAGAACCACAATACATTTTTATCAATTAGATTAGATTAGGAATATCTTATATGGTCATATGTTGTCGACAAACTTATAGGCAAGGGATACCATGTTTTCTACAATGTCCTAATATGACATGGCTATGCAATGGATATGAGATTAGTGAGTGCATTAAAGAACAAAGTTGAAACGAATGATAAGCAGTTGTAATCATACCCTCTCAAATGAAGACTGTGCCTCCTGGTCTAAAAGGTCTTGTTGATCATCTTTCTGAGTCCACTTGTTTACAAATGTCGCAAAGGACAACATATTCAGTTTGTCACAGTGAGTCACTCGCAATTCCGTTAAGAATGGCCAGTTCAAAGCAGGCAAGTTGGGGCAAAAGCTCTGGAGTTGTGGCATATCATGTAACACTAGAGAGGTCAATTTCGGAAAAAGAACTTGAACAGTTGTGGAGTGTGGAGTGTCATCTCCACTCGCGACTATTTCCTTGATCACACAAAATTGAATTCGAAGTTTCTCAAGTTGGTCTACTCTTGTAGCCACCCAATACGGAAATAGATTTTCAAGGCTGTTACAATTCTGAATCTCCAGTTCCCTTAAAGTTTCAAAAGTGAGAGTTTCTCGAGGACCACTAGTCCATATATTGCTTAAATTGTCCATGTGGGAGAGAATCATCGATCGAAGCTGAGGAAACTGTACCTGCCATATTGAAGAAAATGACACAATAAATGTGATTACATTGAATTATGACCTCAAAGAAGGAATTTCCAAACTTCCCTAACTCTCACAATTCATGAGAATTCAAGAACTTGTTAGTGACACAAACATGGAGGGGCTGATTTATGCTTTCATTTCACTTGACTGATGACTAAGGCCAGTTACATTGCATTGCAACAAGCATGAAACGCGTTGTGACTAAATCAATTACCTTACGATCCTTACCACTTGTTAATACTCGTGCAGAAAAAGATAATAGAACATTTTTCATTGAGTTACGACACAAAAAACATAATTATGACCTCAAATACCAAATTAAAACTTTTGCAATTTCCTAAAATTCATATGACATGAATTGTCATGAATCTTTCGTTTAAGAGCCCATATGGAATTTTCATTACATGAATTAATGAAATTACGACATTCTAAAACCTCAATTACCAAATGCATATTTCCTTGCTTCCCTAAGTCCATGGACCATGGAAAAAGACAAGTTTGTCATACAAGTATGAAACGGTCCACTAAGATATTCGCCTCGGTCAAATGATCCCAATGATCATACTATGTTTGCTTGGAGAAAATCAACTGTGTTAATGACCTTCTACGACTTGTCCATTGAGAAGCGAGTATTGACATTTTTTACTTGGTTGCAATAAAATCAACGCAATTACGACTTGTCATCACTAAAAAACAGAATGACTATTTTCATACTTTCCTAAATCTATTAATACTCGAAAGTGAGTATTACAATGACTTTTTTGAAATATTCTAATAATGTGGGGGATATCTATTATTTCATGAAAGCTCATGTATGACAAATAAATGACTTTAGAAGTAAATATATAATTAGTAATAACCCTTATGATTAAAGATAAATAAATGTGTGGATACTCGTTATGATGAAACGTTAAACTCACAAATAGTAGAAAACATTAAAATAAGAAAAAAAACAAGCATTTCCTCCAATGGGGGAGGAGATGGCTTGATTAGTTGGTATGTGTTAATTGCCTTTTTAAGAAGTGATGTAAATTAAAATTTGGAAAACACATTAGCTTGTGTTCACTGAAATCAATTCAAAATAAAATTGAGAATTGATGTTTATTCTTCAAAAAATTAGATGATGGTATGTACCTGTTTATTCTTTATTATATTACTTCGACGGTAACCTCTCCTAAATTCTGTCAAATCAAGAAAATAATTATCAAATATTAAAATTGTATTTTATTTGGATCTATATTCAGTAGTACATTGATTATAAAGAAAACGCCTTCTCTCATTTTTGGAAAGTTGCCTCGATGACTTATCGGATTCTTCAACTTTCATGTTTGCCAATCACAAATAAATGCGCGCATTTTACTTCAGTGCACTGCACTCTAATTTTAAAAAAAGGCCAGCCCCTCTCCAATTGTCTACCCTTTTTAGATGATGCAACATTAGATAAGATAAGAATCCTTGGATTAATTTTCTTCGACTTAAGGGTTTGTTTGTTTCACGGAAAATGAATCATTTGAAAAATATTTTCCTAAAAATGATTGCTTGTATCACTTGAAATAATTAGTCAATAGAAAAAGTCTTCATTGTCAACAATAATTTTTGTTTAAATATTTTCATGGACGATGAAAATATTTTTCGTTTATTTATTTTTGTAAGAGATAAAAACGATTATTTTTAAGAAAATATTTTTCTAATCATTCATTTTTTGCGAAACAAACGAAACTGAGCATCCAACTTGTTTTTAGTTCACCTTCTTCACATTTGTTTCCATGGATTTATTTCCTAGCCAAAATTTTTTTTTTTTTTTGGTAACCCGGGAACCCCCCGCACGGCCGACAGCCGAGGAGGTAAAACCCGGGGTGACGCTAGCGCAGGACCCACCACCACGACGTCACGCTTAAGAATCCCTAACGCCAGCACTGGGATTCGAACTCCTACCCTTCGTGGGGGGAGGGGAGCCCGAAGCCAGCGCAGCCGCTGAGGGCGGTGGTTCCTAGCCAAAAAGTTGGTGTTGACACTTTTCTACAATTTCTTATAGCCTTTAAAAAGATATTTGGAAGTGCATTTGCAGGTTATATTTAAAAGCAAAAAAGCATTGGAAGAAAAAATAGAAGCATCAGAATAAGAAAAAAGAAGAAGCATTTCCTACGTGGAAAAATAAAAAGAAGACTGACCTGTGGCGTGAAAAGGGAAGGGGTGCCATGGTCAATCTCCATCGAAGATTTCCAAGTCAGACTTCTCATCTTGGGGCAGTGGGCAATGCTCAGCGCGTCTAATACGGGGCATTTCAGCGTATGATTTTTCCCCGATAGAAAACTAGTCAAATTGGGCAAACATTCCAGCTTCACTTGACGAAGAAACCTGAAATTAATCTTCTCCACTGCGCTTCCTTGCCCTTCTTCCTCCGCGATCACTCCTTCCATCTTATCACACTCTTTTATTTCCATCTCCTTTAGAAAGTCAAGACACCGAACCATCGATGGAGCGAAAGCATGTCTCAAGTTACTGCAATTATACAGGGTTAGATATGTTAAAGAACTAAAGCACATCGTTCCTTGAAGATCTTGATTCCACAATCGATTCAAATTTGGTAGATTGACCAAGGCCAGCTCGCATAGCCAAAACAAAACCTGAGTGCTTTTTAAAGCCTCCAACCCTTCAAGATTGAATATTTCTTCTAGCGACTCGCAATCGCACACTTGCAATCTTCTCATATTGTCTAAAACAGGCATCAATCTGAATGGAATTGCGTTCATAAATGATGGACATTTATCCACCACCAATGATTTCAATCTCCAAGATGACTTCTTGATGGGAATAAGTTCGCTGTGCCATTTTTCAATTAGCTCAGGGAACTTAGACAGTCGCATAAACTCTACTACTGCAACCGTATCCTGTGAGAAAATGCATCGTTAAATATAAACTTCTAGTTAGCAAGATGCAATTACTCTGTTGGTGATCAAAACCATGCAATTGCACACACTTGGTAAATGATACATACCATTTCTTCAAACATATTTTGGATGGTGATGTTGAGGTTTTCCTTCCAAACGTTCTTGCACTCTACTGTTCCATTCCGTTTCTCCAATTGTACTTGTACACTCCCCAGCTTTGGTGCCTCTATTAGTCCCTCAGAGAAGAACTTCATGTTGAGACATTGAGTCACAATGACATGTTCCAAGAGAGGGAACATCAAAGTGTATCCACCTGAGCTGAAACCTCTCAACCCCGTCAACCGACTGAGTTGCATATACTTCAACTGTTTGAAAGCCACTGTATGCCGCTCCTCACCTCCCTCATCACTAATGACCTCTGTCATCATTTGACAATTACTTATACTCAAATTTGTGAGTTCCACCAAATTTCCAGCTATTGTCGGTGTGAACATATTTGATAATCCATTACAACCTGACAAACATATTGTCTTCAAATGTGGAAAATATCTTGAAAAGGGTAATAGTACTTTTTGCTCATGACTTGGGCCTTCTATGGCTTCCACATTGATGCTCAGCTCTTCTAGTGCTTCCTTCTCGATGAGTTCCGCAATGCCACATGCGTAAATATGCAACTCCTCAAGTTGGATTAGATCTTTGGCTACTAAGGCCGGAAATAGAGAGGTGAGGCTCTCACAGAATGAGACGCTGACTGAACATAGACATTGGAATTTAACTTGACAATGGAGTTCCTTATCCCATACGCACTTTAGCTCCGGTAAATTAGATAACTCTAGCTGTTTTAATGGAGAACGAGCAACGGTATGTCCATCTAGAGGATTCAGTGGCTGAAGTTTGAAAACAACTTCAAGCGAAGGACAAATCATTACCTTCAAATTTTCCAGGCTAGAGAGTCGTCCTAGAATGCAAGAAGGAGCAACGTTCACTAGCTTATTGCATACAAACACATGAAGTGATTTTAGATTGTGGAAAGAATTCGGAGCAACTTGATTGTCCCATATCATCTCAATGTTATCCATGCCCCTGATTTCTACTGTCTCCAAGCTAGGAAAGGCAACCTGTAGAATTCACTCACAGAATTGGTGAGTCAGCTAAATTACGATTTCATGAACTTTCAAGATGTTAGTATAGATGAGTGCCAAGAGGAGAGGAGGATTATTAAGTTGCACAAGAGGAAAAAAAAGTAAAATAAAAAAGGAATAAATAACAAAAAAATTTCTAAAACTCTAACTAATAAAGATAAGGAATCCTTCTTTGGTCTTTCCGTGTGTTTAGTAGAAATGTTGAGGTCTGAAATGGGTTAGCAAGTGGAGCATTACTTGGCTTTTCATATAACAAAGCAATACCAACGATACTTTCAACCCCAAATTTTTTGCCCAAAAAGTTCAAATAATAATCTAACCGAAACTAACCATATATAGTTTTTTGCAATGGGCAAAATGGTAATTTGGATAGGCTAATACAACAATCATATAATCACATTATTCTCTCTCATGTTCTAAATTTAAATCAAATATTTCCCTCTCTTCATTTTAGTTCATTTCGATAAAATAATAAAATCACACTTAATTGTGGTAAAGAAAAATTCGTACATACAAGGAAACACATGGTCCCCACAATCTCGATCTATTTGATCGCGGTCGTCTTATTCACGGGTTCAAGCAGATTCCTCAAATCTCCGATTCTTTTTCAAGTTTTTCCGCTTTATATTTTGACATAAATTAGTCTACGCTGCGATCAATTACTGTAGGTTGTGTTGTTTCTCTGTGATAACTATGCTACTTCAATATAGCAATCCCGGTTCATTTGTGCTTGTCAGCATTTTTCCTTTTTCATTTTGCTAAAAGGGGTTTCATGTCTCATTTTGGACAAGTTTAACTCCAAATTTAATGTGTTAATCCCAAGACTGTCTTTGTTAGCCCGTTAGGTCTTTCTAGTTTTACTAGTTTACTAGAATTGAACCAGTGTGATACACGTAAAACTATAATATAAATCAAATTATAATTTATAAGATCCGTGGAATATACGTAAATTATGTCAAGGACATGGTTACTTCCGGTTAAAGTTACTATTACTCATTTTTTATTCAGGATTATATTACTCTAAAACAATTGAAAAGTTTAGGATAAAAGAAAGTAATTAAAAAAGGAATTGGGTCAAATCAACAATTTTACTTACATAATCTCGCACTTGAAAGAACTAATATACTTAATTGATTGAATTTTCTTTTAGGATTCATCAACTTTTTAGTGGTGCTAGAGGATCCAATAGTTAGATACCCACGATAGATCAAACATATACCCGAGTCAAATCATTGAAGATAGTTCTAAATATCTCATTAAAGGTAATAGAAAATATCTAAGAAAGTCAACGTACTAATCTTTTTACACCAAAAAAGTAACCAACTATTTATAATCGACATGAAGTTGATTTAGTTGGATACAGAGCTCGATGCTGAGACCGATATGGCTATTAGCAAGAGAAGTGATAGTCATCAACAGCTACATAACGTAGCTATTGACAATGAGAGAACTTATCAATTACTATAAATAATGATTATCGATGACCATGAAATACAGTTGTCGATGCATGATGGCGAGTGGTCAATGAATATATCAATTCAATGACAACCAATATATGGCCGTTATTATTATTAAATTTGGTTAAGTGTTGGACACAGAGACAAGAAGAAAGGAAGCAGAGTGAAGAGGTCAATCAGAGACGGACTGAGCAATGGATAAATAATAGTGGCTTTGAATGCTATAACCACTTATGGATAAAATTGACATGCAGATAGGAGGCCTAGAATCTTGGAAGAGTAGTTACAATTGTACTTAGCATAATAACTGCTAATGGGCGGTCATAATCAGGGATTGGATAAAGCAGCGTGTAGTTATTGTAATGATCATCGTCAAAAACAAAACATTCGATTTATACTTATCAATTTATGAATTTTAATGTCTTTTCAATTTCGTTAGTTATAGCTTTTTACCTTTAAATTCATTGTCCTTATTCCTTGTTACGCCAATTGCATTCCTGTCAATCACCATAAACAAACCAAAGATGGACTTCTTGGGGAAAGATTTTCCACTGTCTGGGTCAATACCTAATTTCGGTGAAACATAATCCCCATGGGAGGCATCAATTTTTAAATTCAACTGAGCGTCTACAAGGCCCTTCATCTCCAGCCTTTGTTTCCTTTTTCTTGAACCTTACTGCTCACTTTCATCTCAATTTTTCAATCGCTTGTACATGCTTGCAATGTCCAAGCCGTACATGTGAAATTGCTGACAATTTGAAATTTTTTCTGAAAATTGGATAGCTTCTAGAGATCCTGTTTGGCAGGTATATTACCTGTTCATGCTTTGTGCAAGTACCATAAGAGATGTTCAATAGACTAATGCATAAGACTCGAGAGAGTTGAGAGGGCCAAAAAATAATCAGTATTTTCAAGTTTATTTGTGAAAGCAAATTGTCACTTCCAACTCTTTGTAATTTGGATGCGACAATATTCATGGACATATTATCTTTGAAGATATTTTGTTGAATGGTCGAATGCGAAATCAGGTTTTTAATTTTTGTTTTGAAATTGACAAAAAGAACAATGGCAAGATTTTATTTTCAAACATTTAGAAAGGATATTTGAAAACAAAGTCTAAAAGATTGCCTACCAACTCTAATACCATAAAAACAAAAAAAAAGATAAAAATAATAAAAAGACGCACTTAACAACTCTCCACCTAAATAAAACATAAAAAAAGACATGAAAAATTATGGACTAAGTCATCACCATTTTACTATTCCCATCCCATTCATTCTTAAATGTGAGTGTGTGTGTGTATATGTATGTATATATAATCTAGTTTAGGACTTGCTATATATAAATGTTTACTTTCTGATTTTGTACTTTCTAATAGGGTCTATGTTGTGATAAAACTATCCAATGTTTATTATTTCTTTTTTGCTCGCTTTAAGTGATATCTTGATTTTTCCAAATGACTCCAATAATGTTGACTCTAAAAGAGTAAAGTGGAGATATGTGAATCTACCTTATGATGTAACAACCATTTATGTCATATCAACAAGAGGGTCGCTTGTTTTTTTTTCCCGCACTCAAGTAGTGCCATTTGAATTTACCACGAAATTCATTCATCAGTCGAGTTTCAAAGTGCCCAAAAGTAATGCATGCGCATGAGGTTTTAAAGTTTTTAGAAAAAATGAGAAGCAAAAGGGTAAACAATTGTTGACATGAATTAACACGTGTATACACAACTATACGACAAATGCGAAAGTGACATGAATTAACGCGAACTTAATACATAAGTTCTATAGCATAATTAACAAAAATATAGTGATTTCTAATACAATTATAAAACCCGATGATTACCCTCTTGGCAGAATGTGAGACACTCCTTTGCATGATTCCTCCTTTTCTTTTCTTTTTTCTTTTTTCGATAACGTGATTCCTCTTTCTTTAATTACTCAGTAATTGGCAGTTTTCTTATGCGTCGCAAGGGCGTGAATTTTTTCCTTTGTGTAAAATCACAATACGTATTTTAATATAAATAACTAGTTAAATTGTATCCCATATCATATTAATCTCCCTCTTTTTGAGAAAATAAAGGACAGCACCTAGGAGAGGGAGGAATTATCGTTGGAAGCAAGATGAATGGAGAGTACAAGAAAAGTTTCCTTTGCAAGGAGAATGATCGACATCTTCAAATTAAAAGTCTAAGTGACACCCATTAAGGGCATTAATAAGGATTACACTGTATTTGTATATTTATACAGATTTTCCAGTGAAATGCTAATTTCATGACGATGTGGCAATAGTGACATGTTCAAAAAATTGGCCATGTGTCCACCACATTGATAGTTCGCCGGAAAAGTTCGGATTTTTGGCAAAATGCATAAATTATAAAGAAGTGAAAATCTATTACCTTAGGTGATTAAAATTAAAGTTCAATGACAGATTACAAAATCCATTGCTATTTTAGTTACCTGTAGCGACTTTAACCCAATAATTGGAGAGTTAACAATTGACCTCATTGAAGATTTAGTATCTAACTTTTGCATCTGTAGTGACTCTACTTTAGATTCATCATTTCAATTCAAAATCACAATTTGGATTATAACTTTACTTTGACTTATCCAGATTTTAGGGTGCAGGGATTACGTGGAATATGATCAATTTCAACCAAAGTAGGCTTTGTAAGTAATTTAAATACTTTTCGTTTTGTCTATGCTTTGTCTCCGGCATAACTATTTATTTCTTAATTTTAATTATTTACTTAGGTGGGAAAAATAATTATTTTTATGCCTATATGTTCTGTATAAATTTTAAATAATTTGATGTGATTGATCTAACTCTTGCCTTCAAGGGATTGGTGCGAGTTCAAACTTGCTAATTGTTTGAAGTCTGCCATGTGGCCACTTGAAATGCACAGAATGTAAACTTCCAAAATACTGTCACACATAACAATGATGCCAAGTATTTTGCTCCAATATATCTAATATCTTGACATAACGTTAATCATGTACCTCTCGATTGAAGAGGGCAGTGGAGCGTGATTGGACATGGTCTTGACTCCAAGCTTCTTGTAAACCTATCATCGGTTTTTCATTAGACGAAAATAATGTCACCATTTGGTATTGTGGGGATGAATCTATATACAAGATCTTCAATAATGAAAAAAAAAAAAGAATCTTACACTTTCCGTGAGAGAAGCACGTCAAATTTTCCAAATTTTGTAATTCAATATAGGTTAACATTGGGAATGCTAGAGTTTCTGATGTTTCCATTCCTAACCCTTCTTCCTCCACAATGATCGTCTCCATCTTCTTACAACCCACTACAATTAGATCTCTCAGTTTTGCGAGAGATTTAACCATGGATGGGAAAAACATAAATCGGAGGTTGTCACAATCTTTCACCTCTAATTGCTTTAAATTATGGAATTGTACTATTCCACAAAGATTCTTGTTCCATATGCACCTCAAGCTCGGCAATCGCTCTAAAGAGAAGGTAGTTAGCTCAGAGAGAGTCTCAACATTTCCACTGGCACTTGGTCCATAAAGGTCAAAAATTTCTTCCACCGAAACACAAGATTCTATAGTTAAAGTGTGTAATTTGGGTAGTTTTACCAGCGACCCAAAGTTCACAATCTTCGAGAGAGATTCGCACCGCTCCACCTTGAGAGATTGGAGATTGCTCAGCTCTAATGGAGACTCATCGCTCCATATATCTTTTAGATTGGGAAGTGCAATCATTGCCAAGGACTCCAAAGATGGGATTGAAACCTGATGAGCAGACCCATCAACAATAGCGTTTACAATTACAAAGGACAGCAGGAAATTTATGCTATAGCAAGTTATTATAAATGGTTGCTGAAGGAAATTTTCGAGCAAAGTAATTTATGACCTTTAAAATAATTTTTGTATTTACAAAAATCTTTGATGAGCGAAAGCTAATGTTCAATCCAAAAAGGTATTTTACGACCCCAAAAGACTGCTAATGAACTTTTCTTGTTATTTACATATAACAAGGGATGTTATTATGATCAAGTTTTGTTTGCAATTTACTAACAATAAGGGAAATTATGGTCTTGAAGCAGCACCTATTCAGTTTACTAATGATAGAAAAAATTAGTGACCCATGAAGCAAAAAGTACTTTCAAGGTAAGTTACTTCCTATAATGTAAACTACTTCAGTAAACTTCTCCCTCTTAGATTATGTTACCACTTTGAAGATACGTTACTGATTTTATATAGGATGATTGCTAGAAAGTAATTTACTATCTCACTAGTGGAGATTACAACCATGAAAGAAATTAAGAAGTTGTAGAATGACCGTGATTACGGAAGACACAGGCAATTTACTATCAAAAGGAAATTACTCATTGCAATCCGTGGTTGACTATCTCAACAAGTCAAGATGGCAATCATGAGAAGTAAATTACAATGCTATAAGATTTTAATTACGGAAAGTATTTTTAATTTATTATCTACCTAAGGAAATTTAGCAATTTCAAAGAGTAATTTACTACTTCACATTGGAAAATTGCAATTATAAAAGTTTAATTAATGCAAGTAACTTCCTCTTGACGCATAGGCCCGCCCACCTAAGCCCGCTTGCGCTTGCCCAGACCCAATCAGTTTATACATGACATGTTATATTTTTATCCAATAATGTCCCAGAAAAAATACTGTATTTTATCCAGTGACACAATAATATCAAGGATGTTGTCATTAATAATCGTCCAATGATGTTACATTTTCTTATGTATGCTAGTAATTGGTAGTTTATTATAATATACGTACTCCTTCTCGTTGATGTAAACTTCCTTAGGCATGGATCATCTGTTACGATCCTTACATCTATTGTCTGTGACTCGCATAAATAGTCAAACACGTGGCGCACGTTTTTTCTTTGTTTTTTTTTTCTTTTTACCAAACTCCCTCTCTCTCTCTCTCTTAGGAATCAACCTAAAGAAGACACGGCAATGGCTCGTGCTAGCGCCGAGCTTGTTTACGGCGATCGAGCTAGTGACATTGGTTGCGGCGAAGAGAAACAGATGGAGATAGAATTTGTGCCCGGTAAGCATGGGAGATGACCGAGCGCAAGGGTTGAATCCACGAGTTGTTGGTGGCGACGTCGATGGAGGTGAATGGTGTCCAGTCATGGTGGTGGCGGATGAGCGTGGCAATGGCAAGGGCAAGCAGATGTGGTTCTCAGCCCTTCAGCGAGTGATAAGAGAGAGAGAGGGGGGGAAAGAGAGAGAGAGGATGCAGGCTCTCTTGTGATGCTTGAGCAACTTTTGGCGAGAGGGAGAGAGAGTAGGCCCAAGAAAATATAAAAGCAAGAGGACACGTGTGAGCCATCCATGCGCGTAGTAGACAATGTATGCATAGTAGGCTGTTAACGATCCATACTAGAACGACCTTTCATGCTTCGTAATTCCACGATGGTGTTGCTAAGTACCTAACAATTATTGTATTTTTCCTCAATAGGTCGTAACTTATAGTTACAATTATTCGTAAGTACACTCCTAATCATAATTTGTCTAAAGCTGTCCAATTCTCAACTGCATCTCTATATAGTTAGTACTATCCTTTGGTTTAGTTATAGAGGCAGTAACATGAGAATGCTATCACTTAGTGACTACCCAATAACAATGTAAGTTAACTCAAATTTTCATAAGGGATAGCTATTGCGTTTAGTAATTAACCGCAACAATTCGAAGGATCTATGGGATTAATAATTGTAACCTATCTTTAAAAGCAATATGTCATAAGTTTGAAAGTCTCAAAGATTCCAAATTTCCTTGAGAAATAATAAATAACTTGAGATTATCTTGATTGTCTTTTTACCCATCTTTAATAAATTACCTCAATGTTCCTTTAAAGTCTGTAAGTTTATGTAACTTATCCTAATTTCATGATTGTTAAAGAAACATTTCGTTATGATACCAAAGATATTTGCAGATCTAGAGTCTCGTGAAAATATAATAATAATAAACGGGCAATCTTGTCCAGTCAACTGAACAGCCCTGCTCGCAGCAAAAAAAAAAATTTTTGTGCAAAAAGGTCGTACACTTTCCTCAGTTGGACAATTGTTTATCCTTTACTGACTTCTCTCTAATGTTAGTCAAGTACTATCAATAACCAATTTAACAGGTGGATCTTTTTCCCTTTAAATCCAACGGCTGAGGTTGGATACGGAACTTGTCCCGTAAAAGTGTAGATAGCATCATAAAATGTGTCTACAACGGTTGATAAAAACAAATGACGAAGCCTTTTCACCTTTAATTGCTCCCCTCAATTCTCACTTGCATGATTTGTCATCTGACTCTTTATACTTGGTGTAAAGACTAAACCAAAAAGATCTCCTATTAAATGTTATCACCAAAGCTAGTTAAACAATTAAATACATTTCCACTTACAAGTTTATTAGTTTAATCTACTATAAATGCCATTAATTGTTGTGGCGACGATCAAATTTACCAACTTCATAGTCAAAAATTTTAAGCTAGATTTCTAGGTGATAAAGGTTTATTATGCAAAATCATTTATTATTCATATTGTGAATGTTACAGTCTACTCTATCTCGATTGCCATTCTATACGCTCGAGCCTTGTCTGCATCTTGGCATAATGCTTCAAACTGGGGTTGAGATTTTTGTATGGGCTCCAAACATTCGCTTGGAAGTTGCTTCATTTTAATCTTTCATCAAATTAAAAGCATGATTTTGACCATATTAAAGGAATAAAGCACATGAAATTGCTAGAAATGAGCGAAAAGCTTGATCAATTAACAAAATTTACCCAAATTTTAGGTAAGCACAACAGGAAAATGATAATGATTTTTCACAGCTTAACATAAATTTTGTGAGTTTTTTCAATAAAATATGATAATCAACTTTGCACTCAATTATGGAGCAAACTTATGTACATTATTCCTTGATTTAGGTCAGAATCATACTTTATTTCATAAATATAGAATGGTATGATTTTTGGCAATGAAATTTGTCATCGACGTTAACATTAGCACTTGATTTGCATGTACTTCAGTTATTGAGGACTCACTAAAATAAAATATTTAGGACTTAATTCACTCATGACCAAAATAATAGGACTCCTATGATATTTTCCCCCCAAACATATGTATATCTATCATTTATATTGACTACATCGATACATACAATCAATGGTACTGCCAATGGAGTAATCTTAGAGTTTTTAATGCTACTTTTGGCCATTTTGCCTGTTCGACAATATTAGAACTCCTCTCTCAACAAGCCACTTGTTATTTATTGCTCGTCCCTCATCTCTTTCTTGATATTTCACTATTTAATTACCACACTCTTGTATTTTTCCTTATTCTTCAATGATGCTCATGTACATCAATATAACATTCATTTACTTACGAAGAAAAATAAAAATTGAAGGTAAATTACACAAAACCCAATACGGACTTTGAGGGCGTACACCTTTACTCCTAAACTTTAGTGTCTCTTCAACTTTGATTTTATTGCAGATGTCAACCCTTAGTGCATTTTACCATTTGCATGTGCTTTACATGTGATTTCTTTAATGGTAAATTTGTAATTTTTCTGTATTTGTTATAGTCAAATCATCCTTTGGCCTCCGAATGCGTTGAAATAAATTAAAATTTTCCAAAATAAGTACAAAACAATGAGGAAAAAACACAATGATGGAGAAGAATCATTGGGGACAAAAGAGTAATTTGAATAAAAATAAAGAATTGCACTTATTTTACCCTTGAAAAATCACATGTTGGGCACCCGCAAATGAAAAAATGGACGAAGGGTTGACGGCGCAACGGGCTATGTGCAGGTAGAAATTTTGGGAGTAAATGTATAGACCGCTCTAAAACTTCACGGGGGATTTCGTGTAATTTTTCCTCAAAGTCGCTAACTACTGCCTACAACCACGAGATTTTAAACATAATTTGCAAATTTATGATTGTGATGCCAAAAGCGCTTACAATATATATACATAAATATAGAATTTCGTGTACATGCGTGCGTGAACATGCACAAAATTGTTTACTCTCCTAATTATGGGAACTACGCAATGAGTAAGTGCTTATTTAAACACACAATACACACAAGACGTGCATAATTAGATTAGCATAGTTGCTTTTTTCAAAAAAAAAAAAACCCCTAGTCCTCTTACCCATTATTCGTATTGGTTTTTACCAAGTCACGTATATTAATATAATTTATAGATAATAGCATAGTAGGAGAACTAAATTCAGTGGAATCCATTTCATAAGATTATGAAATTATTTTAATGCCAAAATCCCTTTCAATTCTGCTTCATGAAAACCTATTAATATAGATATACTTGCAGCATGTAAGTTGAAAATAACTCAGAACCTATTACAAACTAAATGTACAAGAATTTCAAATAATTAGTTGGATTTCTACACCGTGAAGAGAAGCGGAAGATTGCTTTGTCTAATAACAGAGAAGTCATGAATGAAAAGGTTATTAGGAAGATAAAGGAACTGAAAATAACAAGATGAATTAGCATTATAATCTATGTTACATCTAATTAGCAAAGAAGGGAAAGATTAATATATACCATATTCTTTGGATAGAAAGGTACCTGTTGCCCATTGAAGAATGCAACTTGAGTGCCAACTTGGTCGTCTGATATACTACTTGAAGGAGCTGTCCCGGCAGTGAAGAAGTTCTTGATATTTGACAAGCCACTCAATTCCAATACATGCAAATTACGAAACTCGGCTTTGCCACAATCATCAGCTTCTACAATCTCCCGCATTAAGTTGCAAGCGTTAACTTTGATCTCTTCTAGCAATGGAAGTTCCTTCACTAATGAAAGAGGAAACAGAACTTTCATCTTATCACAACTTTCGACTCGTACTATTTTTAATGTACTAAAGGACTTGGAGGAGATGTGGTTGTGGCATATCTTCTCCAAGTTGCGGAGATTCTTGAGAAGTAACGACTCTAACATCTTAAAAGCAGTGAGGGAAGGCCTTCGGAGGATGTAATGGATGGAGGGACTATTCCAGACATAAAGATGCTTTAATTTTGGAAAACCTTTTGGGTATAAGTCGCAAATACTTTGCTCAATTCCATTCAACCTATCCAAAAGTAGATCGTCGGTTTTGTCTAAGGTAGTTTGCATGGATCCTTTACGAAGAATATCGCTTGTTGGATTCAACTGGAGTTCCAATCTCCTCAATCCTTTGTGACTTAACCAGCTCGATCCTTCACGTATTAACCAGCCCCCCACACGACCTATTTGGATATTGTACTTGGTTATTTTGTTGAAGATTAGATCCTCTGGGAGCACACTTGGATTGGGAATGGATACATGCAGAGTGCAAAGATTCTTCATGTTCTTCAACTCAATAAGACTGGCATTCATTGGTGGAGTTTGCTCCACGGCATTCCATTGATCAAAGCTACTCTCCATGTACAACTCCTCTAACTTGATCAATCTTCCAAGAACACCCGGTTCAATTACCTGAAGTTGTGAACAATGGTTCAAGTCCAACAACCTCAGCTCTACTAGTTGCCCTATTTCTTTTGGCAATCGTTGAATTTTGGAGTTCGCAAAGCTGAGAATTTGTAGCCCCTTTAGCTCACTAAGAATGGCTACATCCTCTAAAGAACAATCATCAAGACAGAGAGTTTGTAAGTTCTTCAAGAACTGAAATGATGAAGGCAAACAAGTGAGATGTATCCCACTAAGATCTAAAACCATGAGTTTCGTCATAGAGTTGAATAATGAATCTGAGACATTAACAGATTCATTGTGCATGAACAACAAAAAGATCCGCATTTCGGGGCAATCAAATTCTTGGGGAAGCTCCTTCATGCCAACATAGGGAAAGCATATCGCTGTACAACTTTTGAGCTTGTTCTTCGGCAACTCTGTTACCGACTGATCTTTATCTTTCAACACAATAAGAGGGTCATCTCTTGAAGTGACCGAGGCAACAAACTCACGAACCAAGTCATGTAACTTGATACCACCGGTGTCTCCATTGTCTAACAAAAAGGAGGATGCTTGAAGAGTATTGACCAGTGAGCTCAAACTATGTCTAGCTTCTTCCATGCTACTACATTCTCTAAATAACCCCAAACCCACGCCATACCTCACCAAGTATTCAGGAGATGGCTCAGGGACATCACAAACAACACAGAGTCGTAACAATGACTTCACCTCTTCGCCTTTTAAATGATCATAACTCCATTGCAACATCTTATTTATCACCTCTCCGATTCCTTCGTTAGTAGACGTCTCAATTTGTTTCAAAGCATCCTGCCATTCATATAAACTAGTATCTTTAAAAAGTTTCGCCATCGCCAAAATTAGGAAAGGCAAGCCTGCACATTTGTGGAGTGCTTCATCTACCAAGGGTTTGAAATCGTCATCATGAACTTTGTCTCCCGCTCTGCTCTCAAACAATCTTCTTGCCTCTTCCCCCTGCAGCCCCGGAAGGAGAAAGTCCCTGTCGCAGCCCATTTCTCTTCGCAAAACATCTTGATCTCTCGATGACAATAACAACTTGCATCCTATGATTTTATTGTCAAGTCCGCAAGGAATGCCGACTGAGTTCAAGTCGAGGCTCCCCCACAGGTTGTCCAGTATTATGAGCACCTTCCTTTTCATCAGCTTGTTATGTTCCAAACTAAGGTGCAGAAGATTCGCTCGCACGTCGAGATACTCTTCGTTCTTTATGTCACTACAGCCTAACGCGTCCGCAATCTCTCCTTGAATCCTCCTGATGTCTGGATTTGCCGACACGTCGACCATAGTGACACAATCGAACAACTTCTCTTCGCTTATTCTCCTTTTGACTTCCTCCAAAAGGGTGGACTTGCCGACCCCACCCATCCCGTGAACCCCGACCACGCTATTGCTGTAATCAGCAAGAGCTTCCATGATGTCCCTTATGATCGAAGCTCTGGATTCGAACACGTCATCGTCCCTAAGCTTAATCGACGTCGAGGCAGAAGAAGTGGAGGCCGTCGCAGTGGTTGACACGACGACATCTTTGCTTTTTGTGCCAGCCGGAGTTGGTGTAGCGACACTCCCCAGGGCAGGATCGCGAAAGCAGATATCGTTCAATTCCCTGAATTCACTTCCTTTTTGAGCGAGTTGCCGAATGTCCTTAATCTTATCCTTGACCTTCCTACTGAACTGATAGCGACATTTGGGGTCGGGAAGAATCCCGTGGCAGCAACTCTTGCTCGCCTTTTCGAAGTCACCCAACAGGTCTGGTGCCTCCTTCAAGGCCTTCTCGGCACTTGCCTGCCACTCCGTGAAGTCACTGTAGAAATTCTCAGGATTGTTTCTGGTCACTTCCGCAAGCATGTGGACCCTCTGAGCCTCGTTCGCCAGCTTCTGGACTTCCTCTTGCAGATCGTTGGCATAGCTCTTGGAGGACACGACGTATCCGCATTGACGCTTGATGGGAACTACTCCGTACTTCAAGACATCCCATATAGTAGTAACGGCAGAATTGATCGACATTTTTCTTTGATTTTTGTCACACAGAAAGAGAGAGAGAGAGAGAGATGGAAAGGTGCAGCGGATAGCGAACAAGAAGAGGACGGGAAGAAGGGTTGTGCCGAGGAGAAGAAAGAGCGAAACAGAAGAAGAACGATAAGAGAAGAAGACAGAGATGTGACCGCAAAAAAGGATGAAGGGGAGCGTCGAAGAGTGGAATAAGACTTTTTGGCCAGCGAGAGACTTTCCTTGTGGATGGAGCGCGCGAGTTGTAAAGAGCAGCCAATGAGGAAAGAAACAAGGTTACCTTTTGCTGGAAAAGTTGATAATCAACGGCTGAGATTTAGTATTACCATCCAATGATTCAATGGCAACTAGAAAGGAAAGTAACATGGAAACTCTCCAATCATTGCCTACGTAAGGAGTGAGTATTATCAAATCCAAATCGTTGATTGTGTTTGGAAAAATAACATAAACAGTCACTGATCTTTGACCAAATATATAATTTGATTTCTAAATTTTTAATTTATTCAATATAATCCATGAACTTTAACCAAATGTGCAATGTGATCCCTGAACTTTTAATTTGTTCAATGTCATCCCTAAACTTTTGGTACTTATTCAATTCAGTCCCTGAACTATATAAAAATGTTCAATGCAGCCCTTTCCATTAATTCAAATTCAAGGACTACATTGAACATTTTTATATAGTTCATGCACTAAATTGAACATGTACCAAAAGTTCAGGAATGACATTGAACAAAATAAAAGTTCAGGGACCACATTGAACATTAACCTAAAGTTCAAGGACTACACTGAATAAATTAAAAATTCAGGGATCAAATTGTATATTGGGTCAAAGTTCAGGGACTGTTTGTGTCATTATCCCATTGTGTTTTTTTTGTTTGTTAAGGCTCTTTTCCTTTTCCTTTTTCTCCTTTTTGCTTTGAGTCTCATTGGTCTTAAAAGAACGAGTGAACGCCTCCCTTGTGTGCTTTTTGGCAGGCGCCTACCTTTGATTTAACTGCTTAACCGGTAGGTTTTCGTATTTACCATATTAAGACTACTTTTTTTAGTCGGAACCATATTGAGACTTCATTCATGTCATAAATTAGACAACTTTATTGACTTCAAATTTCAGAACAACATAAAATTCTAAATTAAAAACTAAAGAAAACACAAAACAAAACCTAAACAAAAGTAGAACAAACTAAAGAAATATCTTCTTAATGAAAAAACTATTGTTGATTCAAACTATAACTTATTCTACTCATATATTGCGATTTAGTGCATTAGTGCATTGTAACAAAATCCATGGATTTCATATAATATTTTATCCAATCCTATAATGGCTAGAAATCCAGACAACCAAACGCAACCCTAATAGACAAACATTGATTAGCTGCTAGTCCTAAACCACCTCCTTGCATGGGTCAATGAAATCATATTAGAAATATACAAGTCACATATAATTAAGCTAATTGATCAGAAAATATATTGTTTTATTTTCGAAATGGTATATAGATTGAAATATTTTCAAAACTTAAAATGGTTGTGTTATTGATTATATATTGAATAGCAATTTTTGATAATATTCAACTTATTGACATATTAGACATGGGCTAACTGGACCTTTGGATCTAATTTATGTTGACCATTATTTGAAAATAAGTTTTGAGTTTTCATGTACTATTTTTCAAATTTTTACACATTTGTTGACAAAAGGCCCCTCATAATCATCCCTTTGAGTGAAAAAAAAAAAATTCAATTTATGAGGAAAAGTTGAAGTTGTTTTATTTTTTGGCCAACCATAATTTTTATATTAGATGTCATATTACTCCTAAATCTGTATAATTATTATGACCATTTGAAAAGGTTATGAGTGATTTCTAATAAAATAAATGTTACGACTAAACAAACAAATCCAAATGGAATAGTCTCGTATTGTCATTCTTTAACTTTATTCTTCCACATTTAAGAATTAGGGACATTTTTTATATAAAACCATGAAATTTTGTGAACCGGATCGATATGCCACTTGACTCAAAATTTTATGCCAGAATTTTAAGCCATCTCGGGACGAATTATGTGGTCTTTTAATAAGGCCCTACCATGCACATGAAGCCTTGGTCCATTTCGGTTTTGACGGTCAAGTCCGGGCTCTCTCTCTCTCCGCGCGCATGTGTGTTCAGCGGAGTAGCTGGCCTCAAGTCTAATATTCCTATCTAAGGTCACCCCAGGTATGGGCTACCAAAGGCTGGACGAACATTCAAGGTGATCACTGTAGACACATAATCATTTATCAAAATTTGAACAAATTTTGATTGAAAATGTCAACCTTGATAAAAATTACGAACAAATGGCACAATTTGGTTAGGCACTGTAAGAGATTTCCAACGAAACCCTATTATCCCAAATTAGTGGGCCGAATTACTAGATGTAATGACTCTTAACCATAGTCATTCTATCTCAATTAAATCGGAAAAAATTGTGACATTTACATATCAAATAATGTTATCACGTTGATCTGGTCGTAAGCTTTTCAGTGTCTTTGAGAGTCTCTTTGATTAGAGTTTATTCAAGGGAGATACCGTGACTTTTCACCTCGATCGTCTTTTTGGCTCGATTGACAGAAACCCACAATGCCAACACTTTTTCGGAAGGACATCTTGTTTTGAAATGTTCGGGTCACTAGCTTTTGATGAGCTCGAAAATTAAGTCGGTCGGATGGCGAATAAAAAAATCTCTATTTGATGCTCCTTATGCTAAGCCATTTATGAACGATCAAGGCTTTCATGTTTTTATCTTTTTTATAAAACATCTTTATTAAAGGTGGACTCAAAAGCGGGAGGGGACACCCCACTATCTGATGTCTAGTCAAATTATTGCTTCTTCCGTGCCCGGTCTGGTCACTCTCTTATGATTGACAATGGATGACCTCAGGCAGGCCCAACGTGCATAGCTTTTTTCCAATGACAGAGCTCAACGAGACAAAGGAATACATATGGACTCCATTTTTGCATGCCCGGTTCGATCATGGGATTGGGTTAATAATCCATGGCTACTTTCTTGAAAATAATAACTTTAACAAGGATGTCATAGGAAAAGAAAGTATATACAAAGAGCTTTGAATGTTATTATCAAATCATTCGCTATGTAATGCTTATCATTAATACAAACTCATAATTTCAAGTACCTGCCATTTGTAATAGATGTGATTTAACTAAACATCAATTAAAAGAGCGTGATGTGAGCAAAAATATGACTTATAAAGCCACAAGTGACACCACCAAATTCCGGTGATTGTAGTTCGGATATGGCAGAGACCAACGTAAATGTAATTTAGTCCTCATTTTTTGACAAGATATGATGGATTCTTAGCTTCGCAGTGTGCAATATGTTTGAATGCCTAAGAGTCCCAATTTGATTAATTCCCTCAATGTATCCCTCGAAGAATCCAAAGAGAATTGTCTGCCTGCGTGCATGTTTGAACAAGCAATGTATGAATCTAAAAAACCATAATATAAGCACACAGAATGAGAGAACACACGATGTATATTCATGGCACTTGGCAGTATTTTCTAGTTTCGAGAGTTATAATTGTTGTAATTATGGTGGGTTAATGGTTTAACGAATGTGAGCAAAACGAAATACATCTTTTCAATTCATGTATCTCTTTGATTCGTGTATCTATTTAATTCATGAATCTCCTAGATTCTTGTATCTATTTAATTCATAGTTCATGTATCGCTTATGTACATGAATTCTAAAACTCTACAAATAGAGTTAATATTCTTCATTCCAAGTATGATCGAAAATGCCTACATCTCTTCTCTTCAATTTTCTCTAAGTGTGTCGGTTGCAATAAGTGTTTGACAGAGTCCTGTTTGCATAGTGCTAATTCGAATGGGTTCAAGGTGTTGTATCTTGAGAGGCATAGTTTGTGAAGCTACTTAACACCGTTGACAGGAATTAATCGCCTTAAGGAGATTTGGATAGCCATACCTCACCTCCAATTATTTTTTTTGTTATTGCTTTCTTGGAATTATTAATTTTCTGATTATAACAAACAGTGTTGCGTATTTTTCTTCTCCCAATATGTAATTTCTTCTTCTTCATCTCCAATAATAATCTGTAGCCTTAACTATATGATAGGGTGCATAATCTAAAAGTCATTGTCGCAACCCTACCCAAACAAGGTCAGGGAGGCTGGTTTAAAGGTAATGCCCAAAAAGGTGGGCTGATAACTCTCCATTAGATGCGGGCTCCCACACCCTTACCTCGCATGACATTGTGGTTTATTTTAAGTTCCAATTAATCCTGAAAGATTCTATGTGAATTGAGAGTCGCCACTAACCTATTTGGGTTGGCTAGAAATCAAGTGAGGCACGAGAAGATACCTCACTTCCTACGCAACCAGATTCTAGGTTCGGAGACTTCATTACACTAATGGGTCCTATCAGTGCCCTTTTGATACCTCTAACTTGATTGGTTATTCATGTAAGTGATCAAACGGTCTTGTTTACCAATTATGAGTCCTAGAAGTTGTTCAAGTTGCTAAATGTTCATGCAATGGACATGATTTCCCATGAGCTTGAATTTAAGTCTAGGAGATTAGTCAAGCCCTGAGCCATGACCCCCATGAGCTTGACCTGATACCAAGTCACGCAAAGAATATAAATGACTTTGTTCTTGAGTCCCGGGACATGATTCCCCATGAGCTTGAATTTAGAGAGTATCCTATCTTAAAAAGGCTAATGTGGGTATCAACACTTTTGGAGAGACAAGAAGCCCCACGTTGCCACTTTGTCATTCTAAGTCGGGGTCCCAATTTGGCTTTAGAATATTAGGTGCTCATTTAGTCCCCCCTCAAGTTTATCCTAGGTTACGACACTTCCACGTTACCTATTCAATTATTAAAGGTAAATCCGAAATTCAATTAAGCTATTTAGTATGATTTTTTATTTTTTGAATTGATGTTTCTAAACTACTATTTTTATATCTATGTATTTTTTTCAATTATA